TTTCTCTATCTCCATCAATCCATCCATCTCTCTCTCTCCCTCCATCTATCTATCTATCTATCTATCTATCTATCTATCTATCTATCTATCTATCTATCTATCTATCTATCTATCCATCCATCCATCCATCCATCTTCTTTCTCCCTCCATCCTTCCCTCTCCTTCCTTCCTTTCCTCCCTCTCTCCCTCCGTCTTCCATCCATCTACTTCTTTCTTTCTTTCTTTCTTTCTTTCTTTCTTTCTTTCTTTCTTTCTTTCTTTCTTTCTTTCTTTCTTCCTTCCTTCCTTCCTTCCTTCCTTCCATCCATCCATCCATCCATCCATCCATCCATCCTCCTTTCTTTTGTTCCTTCCTGTCTCTTTTTCCTTCCTTCTTTTCCTCCCTCCATCTCTTTTTTTCCTTCCTTCCTCCATCCATCTTTCTTTTCTTTCTGCCTTTCTTTCATTCATTCATTCTTTTTTCCCTCCCTCCTTTCCTCCCTCCCTCCTTTTTTTGTTCCTCCCTTCCTGTCTTTCTTTTTCCTTCCTTCTTTTCCTCCCTCCCTCCACTTCTGTCCTTCCTTCCTTCCTCTTTTCCTTCCTTCCTTCTGTTCTTCTCCCCTTTTCTTTCATTCTTTTTGATCTCCCTCCTTTTCTCCCTTCCTTTTTTTCTTGTTTTTTTCTTTCTTGTTTTCTTTCTTGTGTTCTTGTTTTTCTTTCTTTCTTTCTTTCTTTCTTTCTTTCTTTCTTTCTTTCTTTCTTTCTTTCTTTCTTTCTTTCTTTCTTTCTTTCTTTCTTTCTTTCCTGTCATTCGTCACAAGGGGAATCTGGGCAGCTGGTAATATGTCGGCTTGTCAGAATGTCCCACAGTTTCTTTTCACTAGTTCCAGAGCGAGGTACCTCTCGGCTGACAGGTTGAATTGTGCCTGTTTTCCATCCGCAGTGGCACCTCCCCGCTGGCCTGCCTGAACGCGATGCTTCACTCCAATTCAAGAAGCTGCGATGGGCTTTTTTACAAACTCCCCGGGCGAATCAGCCTCTTCACTCTCAAGGTAAGACCAGATTTCCGTTCTTTTAATCCAGGGATCGGGGGAAGGCTTAGCTGACTGCCGAATTTTGTATGAACCTGGCCCCTGATAGGTGATAAGAACTTGTCGTTAGCCAGTTTTGGGTGCAGATCAATAAATACGAGCTTAAATAGGAATATTGTGCCATGCTGTACTTACGACAGCTTCTTTGCATGCCTTCTGTCTGACATGGTGGCTGTCACGGTCCTTGCGTATACAATATAAGGCAGGGGTCTTCAAACTTGGCCACTTGAAGACTTGTGGACTTCAACTCCCAGAATTCCTCAGCCAGCCCTCAGGGCTGGCTGAGGAATTCTGGGAGTTGAAGTCCACAAGTCTTCAAGTGGCCAAGTTTGAAGTCCCCTGGTATAAGGACTTAGTCCAGTAGAGAGAAGTTCTCTCAAGGTGGGCTCCAGCACCAGTCCAAAAGCTCAGGAGGCTTAAATCTCTGGTCCCGGTGACCAACCCAGATTGGATCCTGCAGTATAAGGATCGTACATACCGTCATACACAGTGTGTACCACATACAGGATTATAACTACCAGGCAGAAGAGTAGCAGAGGGCATCCATGAACATCAACTAGCAGAAGACAGAATGAAATCTCCCAAATCTCACACTGCACGGACAGGTTCCACCAGAGTTCCAGCTTGGAAACTGAGCATCCTAGACCAAGCCAAATCCACCAATGCTAGGGGATTCTTGGAAGCTTGACATTCAGACAAACCTGCCATCAACAGACACCTAGAAATAATCCATATTTACACACCCTTCCAAAAAGGAGGAAGTTGGGTCATGAAATGTCTGCAAGACTAGAAGCCCTCCCCTCGGCAGCCAACACCCAGATAAGCAGGGATGAACACCAGACAAACAATCAACCAGAACACAATAGNTAGCCTAATCAAGAAATTATCAAGGAGGAACCACACACACACACACCAACACGGGCAGAGCAAGCCACCATGTATAAACAGGAAGCAAATTCTACACACTCCTCAGCTCAGTTGCTAGTTGGGTAATGAAAAGTCTGCAAGCAAACAACCAAGCTGTCAATGCTGCTAACTGTTGGATGTTCTTGCTTTGACAACATATGGAGATGCAGCCTTTTTCTTATGCTTTACTCTTAGAGTTAGATGATACTGGGGGGGGAGGAGAAATTTGAGGGGAGTTAGTTAGACATAACAATATTGTAATAGGTGTGAATTCAGGGCTTTTGAAATAAGAGACTATAAGAAATGGCGGGCTGGAGTAAAGGAGGGAAGGCCTGCATTTCAAGCTAATTGGAGAATGTGATTTATGACTGTAAATTAGGGGAGGGAATTGTGCTTTGCTACTACTCCAAGCTCTGATTGGTTCTTCCAGAAAGCTGCTGCCCAGTGGTCTCGGACCCTCGCCGGACCTGAAGGAGAAGAGCTGGATGACGCCGAGAGCAGTGGTTCCAATGAAGCTGCCAGCACTGTGAGCGGGGATAATGATGGTAAGTGTGCTCCTACTCTGAGCTTGCTCCAGCCGCTTTCTCAATGGATGTGGATGCTATTTAGGGGACTGGAGGCTGAAACCTACAAGGAATGGTTGCTGGAATTGGGTATGTCTAGTTCAGGGCTAGGCAACCTTGGCTCTTTTATGACTCGTGGACTTCAACTCCCAGAATTCCTGAGCCAGCATGGGGGAACTATGGCCCCCTCATGACTTGTGGACTTCAACTCCCAGAATTCCTGAGCCAGCATGGCTCAGCTTGGAAACCTCTCCCTTTCCCCTCAGCATGGCTGGCTCAGGAATTCTGGGAGTTGAAGTCCACGAGTCACAAAAGAGCCAAGGTTGCCTAGCCCTGGACTAGTTTAATGACAAGAAGGACAAGGGGGGACATGATACAGTCTTCCAATATCTCAGGAGCTGCCCCAAAGAAGAGGGAGTCAATCTATTCTCCAAAGCGCCTGAAGGCAGGACAAGAAGCAACGGATGGAAACTAATCAAGGAGAGAAGCAACCTGGAACTAAGGAGAAACTTCCTGACAGTGAGAACAATTAACCAGTGGAACAACCTGCCTCCAGAAGCTGTGAACGCTCCAACACTGGAAGTTTTAAAGAAGAGACTGGACAGCCCTTTGTCTGAAATGGTGTAGGACTTCCTGCCTGAGCAGGGGGTTGGACTAGATGATCCCCCAAGGTCCCTTCCAACTTTATTATTATTATTATTATTTTTATTTATTTATTTATTTATTTATTTATTTATTTATTTATTCAACTTATACGCCGCCGATCTCTCTTGGAGCTAACTCCGGGTAATTAAAAACATGAGAACAATAAATAGCAGTAGCACTCAAGTCTTCTAGACCGCCCCGTAGCGCTTGAAAGCCCAGCTTACAATGTAGAGACATCATTTGCATCTTGCCCCCCAACAATCTGGGTCCTCATTTTACCGACCTCGGAAGGAAGGAAGGCTGACTGGAGCTTGAGCTGGTCAGGATCGAACTCCCAGCAGTGGACAGAGTCAGCCTGGAATAGTTTACCTGCAGCACTGCATTCTAACCACAGCGCCACCAAGGCTCCCATTAAATTAATTTAAAATTGACAGCGATGGGGAGAAAGGTGCATTGGGGGGGCGGGGGGGGTGGAGTCTTAGTCAATGAGCCACCTCCAGAATGATGCATCCCCATTGAGGGCCCAGGCCAGTTGGCAGGGCCAGGCCTTCAGGCTCTTTCAGAAGACCAAGGGCGGGGAGGGGGATCTCGCCTCGGGGGCACGATGTTCCAAAGGGCAGGAGTCACAGCAGAAAAGCTCTTCTCCTGTATCCCATCAGGCAGCATTTCTTGACTGACAGGTCCACAGCGTGCTTCCTCCACCAGCACGGTTGGGACAGGGTCATCCCCTCAGGGTGAGATGATTCCTCAGAAAGCTGATAACCAACATAATAACAATAATAATAATAATAATAACAACAACAACAATAATAGAAAAACTGTGGCAAAGGCAAGCAAGGGTAGTACCAATAGTAATAGGCGCCTTGGGTGCAATCCCAAAACAACTGGAGCACCACTTGAACACCATTATCGGCATTGACAAATTTGCCATTAGTCAATTGCAAAAGGCGGCCTTCCTAGGAACTGCTTCCATCCTGCGATGATATCTGTAATACCATCAAACATCCACATCTGCCTATCCCAGGTCCTTGGTGAGGACTCGATAGGCAGACAAAAATGCCAAATCCAGTCTGAACATCTGGCTGACTGTGCGATGATCCATAATAATAATGATAATGATAATAAAGTTGGAAGGGACCTTGGAGGTCATCGAGTCCAACCCCTGCTCAGGCAGGAACTCCTACACCATTTCAGACAAATGGCTGTCCAGTCTCTTCTTAAAAACTTCCAGTGTTGGAGCATTCACCACTTCTGGAGGCAGGTTGTTCCATTGGTTAATTGTTCTAACTGTCAGGAAGTTTCTCCTTAGTTCCAGGTTGCTTCTCTCCTTGGTTAGTTTCCATCCGTTGCTTCTTGTCCTGCCTTCAGGCGTTTTGGAGAATAGCTTGACTCCCTCTTCTTTGGGGCAGCCCCTGAGATACTGGAAGACTGCTATCATGTCCCCCCTGGTCCTTCTCTTCATTAAACTAGACATACCCAATTCCAGCAACCGTTCCTCATATGTTTTAGCCTCCAGTCCCCTAATCATCTTTGCTGCTCTTCTCTGCACTCTTTCTAGAGTCTCAACATCTTTTTTTGCATTGCGGTGACCAAAACTGGATGCAGTATTCCAAGTGTGGCCTTACCAAGGCATTGTAAAGTGGTATTAACACTTCACGTGATCTTGATTCTATCCCTCTGTTAATGCAGCCCAGCACTGTGTTGGCCTTTTTGGCAGCTGTAGCCCTTGAATTGAACCCGGAAGCAAAGTGGCCCTCAGTGGCACTCCCAACACGGTGGCATAATGTGGGTCACCCTGGGTGCCCCAGAACCGCCCGTCCAGGCTGCCTTCCAATGATCTGATCCTTCCTTTCCAGTGTCTCTGGACGAAACCTCTTCCAACGCCTCCTGTTCCACGGAGTCCCAAAGCAAGAGCAGCCTTGCTCTCCGGGAGAGCACCAGAACAGCATCACAGGTAGGAAGGGCAGAGAGGAGCTCACAGGAGGGGCAGGTGAGCACGGCCCCAGAGCTGGGTCACCAAGAGGAAGCTGCCTTTATTCCACCTGAACTGCCCTCCTTTGCTTCTAATTAACACCCACCGTGGGTTCACGGCGGAGAGCTTTCTCTTGTGTTTATAAACTGCGCCCCCCCCCCCCCGCTAGCGTGTGACCCACTTTAAACGACATTAAACGTGGGAAGATTTCAAAGAGCCTCATGAAGTAGAAAAAGGAAGCGGCAGCTGCAGAATTCCCTTGTGCCGCAAAGTTGTGTCTTGACTTGTGGGGCAGAGATTGGCGAGGGAAGCGAGGTTGAGTGGTAGCAATCTTCTTTGCCAGTTGGATCTGGAATTTGGCACAGAGCCGGGCGTGGAGAGCGCCTCTTGATTGCTAGAGAGGCATTTGGCCAAAGCTTGTCCAGATTTTTATTAACAATCCCCCAAAGACAAGGCCTGGATGACTCACCTAAGTATCTTTTGCTGACCTGGATAGAATAACTGGAGCAAAAGCACCCCTGGATTATCTTTCTGGAGGAGAGCTGGCGTGCCGGTGACCGGGTGTGAATAGAAATGGGGAGTGAAGCCACCGAATATACGCTAAAGGGGAAGAGAGTCTTCACAGGCACTTACCAACCCAGGGGTCTGAGATGGGCATGGGTGGGTCACGTGATCTTCTGGCAAGTGAAATCCACGGGGAAGCCAGATTTCACTTAACAACCAGGTTACTAATTTATCAGCTGCAGTGATTCCCTTAACAACGGAGGCAAGAAAGGTCGTAAAATGGGACAAAACGTACTTAACAAATTTCTCACTTTAATCGAATAGAATAGAGTAGAATAGAAAATTAGAATAGAAATGAATAGAATAGAATAGAATAGAATAGAATAGAATAAGGAATACAATAGAATAAGGAATAAAATAGAATAAAATAGAATAGAATAGAAATATAGAATAGAATAGAAAAATAGAATAGAATAGAAATATAGAAGAGAATAGAAATATAGAATAGAAATATAGAATAGAATAGAATAAGGAATAGAATAGAAATATAGAATAGAAATATAGAATAGAAATATAGAATAGAATAGAAATATAGAGTAGAAGAGAAAATTAGAATAGAAGAGAATAGAAATATAGAATAGAATAGAAATATAGAAGAGAATAGAAATATAGAATAGAATAAGGAATAGAATAGAATAGAAATATGGAATAGAAATATAAAATAGAATAGAAATATAGAATAGAATAGAAATATAAAATAGAATAGAAATATAGAATAGAATAGAAATATAGAATAGAATAGAAGATGGAATAGAATAGAATTAATAGAATGGAATGGAATAGAAATGCAGAATAGAATAGAATTATGGGATAGAATAGAATAGAATAGAATAGAGCTGGAAGGGACCTTGGAGGTCTTCTAGTCCAGCCCCCTGCTCAAGCAACAGACCACTTACTGTGGCCGTAAGTCAAGGGTTACCTGTCTGGAGGCGGTGTAGTAGAGAAGCACCACCTGCCTGCTCCATTGGCAACCCATGAAGGTCTTTTGGAAAAGCTGCCTTTGTTTCACTTCTGAGTTTATGACCACTAGGCCGAGCTGTCCCGAAATGGCGGGTGCCGGGGCCTTTGATCCTGCCTGCCGAGAAAGCAAGAGGCTCGGTCTTTGGGCTTCCTCCGTCTTCCCCCCCCAGCAACGCTCTCTCCTCCGTTTCCTTCGAAACAGGTGAGCAAGCAGAAGAAAAAGGCAGGCATGATGCTTCCCCGTGTAGTCCTGACACCCCTGAAAGTAAATGGGGCCCACATGGAACCCTCTTCCGGTAAGTGGAAGCTCTTTTCCCCTTCCCCCCCGGGACTACCACACCCATGTGGCCTCTCCGATCCGCAGCCTCAAGTCACTCACAAGCGTTCCTAGTTGCTATGACTGACTTGGTCTTCGCTGAAAGCAAGGGTTATTCATGCTTGGGAAATGGTAAGATGGCTGGGGAATTCTGGGAGTTGAAGTCTATCCATCGTAACGTTCCTAAAGTTGAGAACACTGTCCTGCAAGGTATAAATTCTGGCCCATCTATGTATGCCTATCATCCATCCATCCCTACCTACCTACCTTACCTACCTACCTACTACTTACTTACATACCTATCTGTCTGTCTGTCTACCATCTCTAATCTATATATATATCATCTATAGATAGATCTATCATCTATCTATATCCATCCATCCATCTTATCTACCTAACTATCTGTCTATCATCTCTAATCTATATGTATCATCTATCTATAGATAGATCTATCATCTGTCCATTCATCCTATCCATCTATTTATCTCTATCTATCTATATCCATCCATCCATCCATCTTATCTACCTATCTGTCTATCATCTCTAATCTATATGTATCATCTATCTATAGCAGTGGTGGCGAATTGATGGCACGGGTGCCAGAGGCGGCACTCAGAGCCCTCTCTCTGGGCATGCGTGCCGTCGCCCCAGTCCTAGGCCTTCAGCTGGGTTTTATAAAACCTTTTCGCTTTAGGCCTCCGCCGCCATGTGCAAAAAAAAAAAAAGGTTCAATCAATCAGTCAATTTCAACTTCTCGCGAGGGGAAAAAAAAGATCTTGCAAAGTTGGAATTGATTGATTGAACTTTTTAGTCCCACCCAGTCTGCCATTACCACCGCAGCCACGCCCAGCCATTGGGTTACGCCCACCCGGCACCCGACGATGCATAAGTGGGTTTTGTGTTGCACTTTGGGCACTCGGTCTCTAAAAGGTTCGCTATCACTGATCTATAGATAGATCTATCATCTGTCCATTCATCCTATCCATCTATTTATCTCTATCTATCTATCTATCTATCTATCTATCTATCTATCTATCTATCTATCTATCTATCTATCTATCTATCTATCTATCTATCTATCTATCTATCTATCATCTATCATCTATCTATCTATCTATCTTATCATCTCTATATGTATCATCTATCTATATAGATCTATTATCTGTCCATCTTATCTATCTATATTTATCTATCTATCCATCCATCCATCCATCTTTATCTATCATCTGTCTGACTATCATTTTTATCATCTGTCTATCGTCTCTAATCTATATCTATCCATCCATCCATCCATCCATTTTTATCTATCATCTGTCTATCTAATCTATATCTATCCATCCATCTTTATCTATCATCTGTCTATCTAATCTATATCTATCTATCCATCCATGCATCCATCTTTATCATCTGTCTATCGTCTCTAATCTATATCTATCCATCTATCTATCTATCTATCCATCCATCCATCCATCCATCCATCCATCCATCCATTTTTATCTATCTATCATCTGTATATCTAATCTATATCTATCCATCCATCCATCCATCCATCTTTATCTATCATCTATCTAATCTATATCTATCTATCCATCCATCCATCTTTATCATCTGTCTGTCTATCTATCCTCTCTAATCTATATCTATGTATCCATCCATCCATCTTTATCTATCATCTATCTGTCTATCTAATCTATATCTATCCATCCATCCATCTTTATCTATCATCTATCTGTCTGTCTATTTATCTATCATCTCTAATCTATATGTATCATCTATCTATGTATACATCCATCCATCCATTTTGGCTACTCTTTTTAACCCAGTTCCTTTTAAGGCAGTCACGTCGTCCCCGGCTTAACGAACCGGCACACCACTCAACAGCCGTTCCTTCCAGGCTCAGTCCCCCTTGCAAGATGAGGACTACCCCTCTTGCCCCCGGGCATCCCCTGCCCTCCCTTCAGTCAACAGATACCGTGGGCAGAGCCAGGGCCCCTAACCTTCTGCTGGGGCTCGCCCTGCCCTGCTGCGACTCTCCCACTCGGTGAAGCTGGGCTGGCAGGGTGGAAGGTCGCCGGCAGCCACGGACATCTTCGCTCACCGGGGGCTCTTTTCCCAGGGTTGGCGGGGAAGCCGGTTGGCGATGAGAGCAGCAGCAGCAGCTCCTCAGTTCTGCCCAGCACTCTTTGCAACAGGACAGAAATGGCGAGGGAAGCCCCCCACCTGCTCCGGGGGGTTCGCAAGCCCTCCAGCGGTAGGTAGAACCCCAAGGTCTTCTCTCCACAGGAGGAACTTTTAGCACTTTTGGATCCGGCTGACTTTAAAGATGTGTGTGTGTGTGTGTACGCCAGTGAATGTCCCCTAGATCAGGGCTTTTCAACCAGTGGTACGGGTACCACCTGTGGTACATTGGCACCTGGCAGGTGGTACACAACCATCCTAGAAAAGTGATAGCGGGGGAGGGGAATGGGCTGAACCGGTGGCAGCACCGCACAAGCCTGAGCGAGAGACGGCTGGAGCTGCAGGGCTGTCAGGGCTCAGCGGAAGCGCCAGGATCAGTGCCAGGCTCCAGCTGATCGGCGCTTCTTCGGGGCTGTCAGGGCTCAGTGGAAGCACCAGGATCAGCGGCAGGATCCAGCTGGAGCTCGGCGCTGATCCTGGTGCTTCTGCTGAGCCCAGAAGAAGCGCCAGGATCAGCTGGAAAGTTGCAGCATCTCCAGGGTCTTGTGATTTACATTCAGAGGCTTGGCAACTGATTCATATTTATGACGGTCACAGTGTCCCAGGGTCATGTGAAGTGACTAAAACCTGCTGCAACCGCCCAGCAGACGGGGGGAATAAAAACCAAACACCCCCCACCCCACCCCCGCTGCCAATCCTCAACAGAAATGCTCACAACAATGAAAACCTCAGACAGGAGGAAGAGTGCCGCCGAGTGGGCAGGCAGGGGTCTTGCTTGGCTGTGGCTTGGGGGGCCCTTTTTTCAGTGCCATTGTAACTTCAAACAGTCACTAAGCGAACTGTTGTAAGTCGAGGACTACCTGTACTTCATCCCTTTTTTCCTTTTTTTTTTTGGTCATCAAGTTTTTGACCCCTTGCTAGGCGACTGGTGGTACTCGGATGTTGCCATATCCTAAAAGTGGTACAATGGGTGAAAAGGTTGAAAAGCCCTGCCCTAGATTTTGTTTTTAGAGTATTAGATTTGCCACTGACGTTTTCTCACAATGGTGTGGCAATGGTGTGGTTGCTCAGGAGCCCCTTGTGGATCTTTGTGTTAGTAAACCAAGGGTCTCCAACCTTGGGAACTTGTGAGACTTGTGGACTTCAACTCCCAGAATTCCCCAACTGGCTGAGGAATTCTGGGAGTTGAAGTCCACAACTCTTAAATTGGCTAAGTTGGGAGAGCCCTGTACTAGACAACCTGAGACTCATGGAGCCCTCATCTTGGAGTTAACTTACAACCTTAACTTAACTTACAACCTTAACTTACAACCACAATCAAGCCCAACATTGCTGTTGCTAAGCGAGATCATTTTAAGTGAGCCTTGCCCCCTTTTATGACTTTTCTCGCCACATTAGTAATGACGGTGGTTCAGTCAATCTGGCTTCCTCGTTGACTTTGCTCGTCAGAAGGTCGCGAGTCATAAATGTGAGCCGGTTGCCAAGCGGGTGAATATTGATCACCCGATCGTGGGGATGCTGCAACGGTCATAAATGTTAAAAATGTTTGTGTCACCTTTTTCAGGGCCTTTGTAACTTTGAACAGTCATTAAACGGATGGTTGTAAGTCAAGGACTTCCTGTAATGCAGAGATTTATTACACTACAGATATGCCTGCTTCATCGGATGTCCTAACTAAGAAGCAATATTACATCTATGTTTATTTGGAATGGAATATGGAATGGAATAGAATAAGAATGGAATGGAATGGAATGATGGGATAGAATAGAATAGAATAGAATAGAATTATGGGATAGAATGGAATGGAATAGAATAGAATTATGGGATAGAATAGAATAGAATTATGGGATAGAATAGAATGGAATGGAGTGGAATAGAATAGAATAGAATTATGGGATGGAATGGAATAGAATAGAATAGAATTATGGGATAAAATAGAATAGAGCAGAGTAGAATAGAATTATGGGATAGAATAGAGTAGAATAGAATTATGGGATAGAATAGAATTATGGGATAGAATAGAATAGACCAGTGGTGGCGAACCTACGGCACAGGTGCCAGAGGCGGCACTCAGAGGCCTCTCTGTGGGCACGGGCGCCGTCGCCCCAGTCCTAGGCCTTCAGCTGGGTTTTATAAAACCTTTTCGCTTTAGGCCTCCGCCGGCATGTGCAAAAAAAAAAAAAAAAGGTTCAATCAATCAGTCAATTTCAACTTCTTGCGGGAGAAAAAAAGATCTTGCAACGTTGGAATTGATTGATTGAACTTTTTAGTCCCACCCAGTCTGCCATTACCACCGCAGCCACGCCCACCCAATGGGCCACACCCACCCAATGGGCCACACCTACCCAATGGGCCACACCCACCCGGCACCCGACGATGCATAAGTGGGTTTTGGGCACTCAGTCTCTAAAAGGTTCGCCATCACTGGAATAGACTTATGGGATAGAGCAGAATACAATAGAGCAGAATAGAATAGAATTATGGGATAGAGCAGAATAGAATAGAGAATAATGGAATGGAATAGGAATGGAATGGAATGGAATGGAATGGAATAGGATAGAATAGAATTATGGAATAGAATAGAATAGAATTATGGAATAGAATAGAATAGAATTATGGAATTATAGAATGGAATAAAGAATAATGGAATAGGATAGGATAGAATATAGGATAAGGAATAGGGCAGGACAGAACAGAACAGAATAGAATAGAATTCTTTATTGGCCAAGTGTGATGGGACACACAAGGAATTTGTCTCCCGTGCAGAAGTTCCCAGTGTACATATAAGCAGCAAGGAATGGGTCATGTGTCATAATCACAGTTACAATCACTAATCGTAAGTTACAAACAACAAGGGATAAATCATAAGAAACCAACAGGAGAAGATAATAGGAAAGAGGAGAAACGAGACAATACTGCTGTGGGAATTAGGTGTTCAGCAGAGAGATGGCATGGGGTGGGGAGGGGGGGAGGTTGTGCCTGGTTGTTTTGCCATGCAGTGCCCTACAGCGGCGTCCAGAGGGGAAGGAGTTGGAAACAGTTTGAGGTGTCCAGGATGTGAGGGGGGTCCCTAGATATTTTCTCAGCCCTCCTCCTCCTCGTCCGTGCATTATACAGGTCCTCCATGGAAGGCGGGCTGGTTGTGATGGTTTTGATTCGTTCCTTTCAAAAGAGGCTGTGTTGAATTTCTCTCTCGGTAACAGATGCGAGACGCTAATTGCTTTCTCTCGTCTGCTGGGGTGAGAACGAAGTTTGCAAATCCTTTAGAACGATCCGTTAAGGCTGCAACAGGGAGACCTTCCGCGTGATCTCAGCCTGGCCCATGAATGGATGAGGAGACTTTAGCTAAAGCGACAACACGCAGCCCCCCGTGTACGGTGTCGTGCCTTCTTTGTGCACCAGAATCAATAGCAGGGGTCGGCACTGAAAAGCTTTGTGAAGCTTTTACTTTAGTACAGGTGCTCCTTGTCCTACGACAGTAAAGGAGCCTGCACCTTGCCATTTTGTGTGACAGATGGAGATCATGCGAGCAACCCAAATTTGCAGAATTTCTTTTGAGTGAATGCAGATGCTCTTAACACTAAACCTGGTGGTTATTATATGACTCCATGGTTCACTCTGGGGCTGGTTTTGTGGAAAACTGGAAGGAATTGCCAGTTTTCGAATAAAAGAGTTGGCAGGGACCTTGGAGGTCTTCCAGACCTGCCCCTTGCTCAAGCAGGAAACCCTATACCATTTCAAACAAATGGCTGTCCAGTCTCTTCTTAAAAACTTCCAGTGTTAGAGCATTCACCGCTTCTGGAGGCAGGTTGTTCCACTGGTTAATTGTTCTAACTGTCAGGAAGTTTCTCCTTAGTTCTAGGTTGTTTCTCTCCTTGATTAGTTTCCATCCGTTGCTTCTTGTCCTGCCTTCAGGGGCTTTGGAGAATAGGTTGACTCCCTCTTCTTTGGGGCAGCCCCTCAAATATTGGAAGACAGCTATCATGTCACCCCTCATCCTTCTTTTTTCATTAAACTAGACATACCCAATTCCAGCAACCGTTCCTTATATGTTTTAGCCTCCAGATCTCTAATCATCTTTGTTGCTCTTCTCTGCGCTCTTTCTAGAGTCTCAACATTTATTTTGTATCATGGAGACCAAAACGGGATGCAGTATTCCAAATGGGGTCTTACCAA